CTATATCCGCTCTCCCCCCCGACCCCGCATTCACTATATCCGCTCTCTCCCCGGACCCCGCATTCACTATATCCGCTCTCCCCGGACCCCGCATTCACTATATCTGCGCTCCCTGGACCCCGCATTCTCCCCGGACCTCCCCGGACCCATTCACTATATCTGGTCTCCCCGGACCCTGCATTCACTATATCCGCTCTCCCAAAGTACACAAAACATGGAAATGCAATTATTTTAGTAAATATAAACTGCTAAATACCTTTTTTATCAGCAGTATATAGCAGTCTTGTGACTTCTATCAGTGTTCAGCAGAGCACTGGTTAAAGCTTGTAGGAGGAGTTTTCCTTCTGCTCTAGGAGGATGCAGGACCCCTGACCCTCTGTCTGGACAGGGCTGAGTGGCCCTGTGCTGATTACATGCACTCTGCCAAAAAAAAAAAAAAAAAGCTCTCTACCAATACACACCAAACTGAGCATGTGCAGAGTTACTCCAAACCTCTGTTCTATCTGGAGAAATTTAGGGAACAATGGAAGAAGGGGAGGATCAGAGAAGACAGGATCAAACATCCTTTTTACACAATGTGGAGGATAGTGTTCCATAGTTAGTATGACAAGCATGCTTTATTACATATACAGACTGATTTTTGGTTCACTTGGGTCTCTCTCCCTCTCTCTCCTCACTGGCTCTTGCTGTTGTCAATCATAGCCAGTGAACCAAAGAGGAGAGAGCAGGGGGCGGGGTATGTGAGTGGGACAGTATCCATTCCAAGGTGTGCTGTTCGGGAGCGAGCCTGCCTGAGTGCCCCCATAGCAAGAGGGTCAAAATAAAGTCCAAACATGTTTTATACATTTAAATGATTTATTTACAGCCAAGACAAAACCTGTAACAGTCAGGGCCGGGACAAGGGGCGGGACAAGGGGCGGGCAGAAGGGGGGCGCTAGCATCATGTGAGGTGGAGGGAGAGTTCCTGATGCTGCAGGCTGACAGGAGTAGTGACTGCAGCATCGCTACTCCTGTCAGCTTAGTGTGGGTAGTGACAAGCCAAGTTTTTGGAGGAGGAGACATCCGGGAAGAGGTGCTGGCTGTGCTCTCTCTCCCCCCTCTAGCTCTACACTCCTGCTGCTGCAGCACTCCTGGACTGGAATTGTTAGACTCATGTTCTCGGGGGGGGGGGATTTCAGTGGGGTCAGGGGGGACCTGTACTTGGAGGAGAGGGATTTTTTTTTGTTTGGGGAGCTTTATGGCTTGCAAAGGGAATTCATGCTTAGAGGGTAAGTGTGTAGATTAGGGCTTGATTTTTTTGGGGGAGGGATTTTGCTGACACACAATGTTCATACATCTTGGGGGGGGGTCGCAGTTTGTCATCTTCAACCTCACTACAAATGTCATAATTCACAGATCGCTTGAATCAGGTGAAAGCAGCATTTACGGTCAACTCCGGTCCAAATATTTTTTTTCTAGAAGGGCCGGAACCTCTGTCAAGTTTTCCCGCTGGGGAGCTTCACCCTCACCAGGGGCGGACTGACCATTTGGAAACTCGGGCACTGCCCGAGGGCCCGTCAGTAGGGGGCCCCATGGATGCCCCTGTACCTTTTTCATAGGCTAGAAGGAAAATGATCCCTATTGAAAGAAAATCCGCCCCTTCACTTTCTGTCCCAGTGACAGGTGTCAACTAGAAAAAAAAAGTGAAAGAAAATCTTCCCAACCTGGACGCAGTGGGGGTTATTTACTAAAACTGGAGGGTGCAAACTCTGATGGACCTCTGCAAAGGAACCAATCGGCTTCCAGGTTTTACTGTCAAAGCTTGATTGAACAAGCTGAAGTTAGAAGCCGATTGGCTGCCATGCTGAGCTCCACCAGATTCTGAGTGCCCGGTTTTCGTAAATTCTCCCCCCAGAGAGTATTTAAAAGGTTCAAATCCTTCTTCACTCTTCCAATCCCATTATTTTGGCTGGAGGGTTCAACAAGAGCTTTGTATTAGATCTTTGGGATCTGTTGACCACGTAGGATTTGGGCCTCCTAAAGCCGCTCAGATGTTTGGATTCTTCACAGTAGCGTAGGTGACGGTCATCTCATCCTGGGAAAGAATTGGGACATATGTGGAAACATTAGGTGACTTTATATCATCTCAGGATTTCTGAAGAAATATTCTTGGAACTTCGTAACATGTAAAGCTGTAGAGATGCTTTCGGTGATGCTAATAGGGGGGTTCAGCCAGGCCTCATCTACTGGACCTCAGTCCAGTTGGGTCAACAGATGTATGTTGCACTTCCCAAAAAATGGCGCTGGCAATATTCTTTGGCAGTGAAATGCATGCAAAGTGCGTTAGGGTGCCATTCAGAATAAACGGCACTAAACGTATGGAAGAGGTGGCCTGTCAGCTAGGCTGTATGGGGCCCCATGATATATTTAATGGTGGCCCTGGATGCTGAAAGGACCTGATTTTTAATCGGCTGTAGCAGGGGCGGACTGACCATTTGGAAACTTGGGCACTGCCCGAGAGCCCGGGGTCAGTAGGGGGCCCCATGAGATGCCCCTGGTACCTTTTTCATAGGCTTTTTTGAGTTTGGGCAAGGACACAGGGGCCCCATGATCCCCTATTGCCCGGGGGCCCCATGAGTTGTCAGTCCGCCCCTGGGCTGTAGTTGAGTATTACTTACAGGTCTTGTCCCTTCCCCAACCTGTGACTGGACAGTGAAGGAAGAAGCAGAAGACCAAGGGGGGGGGGGGTCATCTTTCTGCCACTCTGCTCTCTCCTCCTATCAGCATATCCCTTGTAATGGACTGGAAGACTTTCACCCCAACGTACAGATGAAGTCAATGAAGGCGCTCCATGGTGAAAGAAGAAACCTCCAGTTGTCCTCGTTAGAAGGTGAGTAATGATTGCCCATGTAATAGTTTACCACACCCCCGGCCCCCGTGAGACTACCAATCGCAAATAAAACATCAAATATCGTGTGATATGTGTTTCATACTTACATTTCTGATTTTAGTTCCTACAGAGGGTGAAATACAAAAAAATATATATATTACATCACATTGCAAGAAGAGCAACCTGAAGAACATGTCTATCAACATCGAATGGCTACAAAAAGTTCAATCATTAACGTTTGATAAAACATTTTTAAATCAATTAGTGAGGACGTTTGGACTGATCTTTGATCTAGTACAGTGGTCTCCAAACTGTGGCCCTGGGGGACCAGATGCGGCCCTTTGCTTGCTTTTGTCTGGCCCTTGGAGCTCTATTTCATCCACTGACACCAGCAATGGGGCATAATTCCCCCCAAATGACACCAATGAAGGGGCGCAATTCCTCATAATGACACCAATGACGGGGCACAGTTCTACCCAATTACACCAACAATTGGGCCCAATAACACCAATGATGGGGCACAATTCCTCCCAATGACACCAATAATGGGGTATGCTTCCCCAATGACACATCGATGGGGCACAGTTCCTCCCAATGACACCAACAATTGGACCCAATAACACCAATGACAGGGCACAATTCATCCCAAGGACACCAATAATGGAGCAAACTTCCCCAATGACACAACGAGGGGGCACAATTCCTCCCAATGACACCAATAATGGGGTACGATTTCCTTTTCGTGGAGCGGGTCCGGTGTCACCCCGTGCGGTAGGTGTCACCCCGTGCACCGTGCACCCTCCTCACCTGCCTAGGGATGCCACTGCCCCCCCCAATACTTACCTGAGCCCTATCATCCAGCGATGTGCACAAGCTCCTCAGCTCTTCAGGACCCTCCCTCCTCATTGGCTGTGACAGCAGCAGGAGCCATTGGCTCAATCACAGTCAGTGAGCCAATGGGAGAGAGGGGGTGGGGCTGAGCACGCAGAGTCATGGCTTGGGAGCGCACCTGCTCGGGTGCCTGTGGGGGCACTTGGCAGGAGGGAGGAGCCAGGAGCACTTGTGGGGGCACTTGGCAGGAGGGAGGAGCCAGGAGCACTTGTTGGGGCACTTGGCAGGAAGGAGGGGCCCGGAGCACTTGTGGGGACACTTGGCAGGAGGGAGGATCCAGGAGCACTTGTGGGTGCACTTGGCAGGAGGGAGGAGCCAGGAGCACTTGTGGGGGCACTTGGCAGGAGGGAGGAGCCAGGAGCAATTGTTGGTACACTTTGCAGGAGGGAGGGGCCAGGAGCACTTGTGGGGGCACTTGGCAGGAGGGAGGAGCAAGGAGCACTTGTGGGGGCACTTGGCAGGAGGGAAGAGCCAAGAGCACTTGTGGGGGCACTTGGCAGGAGGGAGAAACCAGGAGCACTTGTGATGGCACTTGGCAGGAGGGAGGAGCCAGGAGCACTTTTCGGGGCACTTGGCAGGAGGGAGGAGCCAGGAGTGCCAGCGAGGGACCTGAGAAGAGGAGGATCGGGATTGCTGTGTGCAAAACCATTGCACAGAGCAGGTAAGTATACCAAAAAAATACAAGCCTTGGACACCACTTTAATTTTGTCAGTAAAGCCTCCAGTCTGCAAGTGATCGATATCTATGATCCGGAGATCGCTGATTAGTTCCTGATCCTCAGTGGGGATCGGAGTTGTCAGTGGCAGCCATGATTGAGACTCACCAGCCGCATAGTGTCTACTGGTGGAGCTAAAACAGAGGACATTTATGAGAGTCTCCCCAGCACGGGGCATTAGACTGGGGAACATTAATATACAGATTGAGGACAGGAAGGGGTTAAACAGACAGAGCTTTAAAAGTCACACTAGATCAGCAATGGGCAAACTACGGCCCGCGGGCCGTATACGGCCCGGCGGACCTTTTAATCCGGCCCGCGGAGCTAGGCTCCCGCAAGGCCAGTGGTCGGCAAGCCGCGGCTCTTTACAAATTTAGATGCGGCTCTCCTGTGTGCCGGGCGCCCGCTCCCCTCCCTCCTCTCCCCTCCTCTCCTCTCCCCTCCTCTCCTCTCCTCTCCTCTCGGATGGCCGCCCCCCCTCTCGGATGGCCGCCCCCCTCCCTCCTCTCGGACGTCAGGACTCTG